TTTTTAATGTATATGGCACTACAAAGAGTTAAAAATTTGCATCACAACTTCTCTTTCTGTCTTCAGTGCACATCCTGCCCTGGTACTTTCCACCCCCAGCTGATGTGTCATTTTGCAAATAACCCGAAAGCTGCAGGAGGCTCACAAACCCCCCCAGAAAACGGGGTGGAATTCCCTGAGCTGCAGCACAACCACGTCACCCAAGTGGGTGAAAAGCCAGCAAAAACCACGTGCTCCCTCTGCCTCTGTATGCAGAACGTGACGCTGAATTTCAGATAATCCACCTAAAAAAAAACCCCATCAAAACCCCACAAGCGACCACGGTTTCCTATCTGAACTCCTGCCGAGTTTTTGTCAGGCAGTTATCAGAGATCTTTGCATCAAATATAAAAATATTTCAGTATTTCAACCCTTCTGCCACCTAGAGCTAACTCAGCACACACCACAGGATGGCTTTTCTTGCTTTTTTAATTCCTTTTTCTCCTCTAGCCCTAATGCAAGTTGCCACAAAAGACAAAATCTTTGTTTTTTGTAACAATTTCCAACAAGATGCAGTCTTGTAAGGAAAAAAACAACATTATGGACAGTAATTAAGATACAGAATTAGAATTAACAAGCGACCACAGTCTCCTAATCGAACTCCCACTGAGTTTTTGTCAGGCAGTTATCAGAGACCTTTGCATCAAACATAAAAATATTTCAATATTTCAACCATTCGGTCACCTAGAGCTAACTCAGTACAAACCATAGGATGGCTTTCCTTGTTTTTTTAATTCCTTTTTCTCCTCCAGCCCCAAAGTGTCATAAACATGTCACATCTTTGGTTCTACTCCAAGTTGCCAAAAAAGACAAAATCTTTGTTTATTGTAACAATTTCCAACAAGATGCAGTCTTGTAAGGAAAAAAACCAACATCATGAACAGTAATTAAGACACAGAATTAGAATTAACAAGTGACAACAGTTTCCTATCTGAACTCCCACCGAGTTTTTGTCACACAGTTATCAGAGACCTTTGCATCATACACAAAAATATTTCAATATTTCAACCCTTCTGCCACATAGAGCTAACTCAGTAGAAACCACAGGATGGCTTTCATTGCTTTTTTAATTCCTTTTTCTCCTCCAGCCCTACTTCAAGTTGCCACAAAAGACAAAATCTTTGTTTTTTGTAACAATTTCCAACAAGATGCAGTCTTGTAAGGAAAAAAACAACATTATGAACAGTAATTAAGATAYAAAATTAGAATTAACAAGCGACAACAGTTTCCTATCTGAACTCCCACCGAGTTTTTGTCACGCAGTTATCAGAGACCTTTGCATCAAACATAAAAATATTTCAATATTTCAACCCTTCTGCCACTTAGAGCTAACTCAGTACAAACCATAGGATGGCTTTCCCTTTTTTTTTAATTCCTTTTTCTCCTCCAGCCCCAAAGCGTCATAAATATGTCACATCTTTGGTTCTACTCCAAGTTGCCACAAAAGACAAAAYCTTTGTTTTTTGTAACAATTTTCATAAGATGCAGTCTTATAAGGAAAAAAACCAACATTATGAACAGTAATTAAGACACAGAATTAGAATTAACTCCATCCCATCACTCATCTTCCTGTGATTCATTAAAAAGGCAGTTTAACAGCTGATCATTCAGGGGAACTCACCTATTTTGAACYTGGGCAGCTGCAAAGTTKACATAATTCTTCTTCTCAAGAAGCTTGGCCAACAGGTTCTCAATTGCCCCCTTCTGGTTCTGAAAAGCTTCTTCCAGGAATTGGTACCTTTAGAAAAGGCAAGAGAAGGCACAGATTATCCAGAAGCAGCAGGCTGGAGCTCAAGGTTCCCAGTTCTGGTGTAAAGCCAAGCAATTTTGACAAAATATTGCAAAACACTAAGAAAAATCAGACTGCATATTCTGATCAGTGTGTAAAATGTTTTAAATGCTGATAAAGCCCTTTGGTACTGTCCAGAAGAGTGAATCTCTTTGGGAAATTTATCAGTTCGAGCCACACAAGGATGCACTGCCTCATTTCCAAGGATAGCAGATCCAGGAGAAACTTTAGAATTCAATGAGGAAAATGCACYAACAGCTTAAACACACATTAAAGGATACCAAAAAACCCCACCCTGAACTATTCCAAATTCCCTAGTTTTTTAGCTGAGATTACACTGCTTGTATCTGACTGCATTAGTTTAATCTGAAGACAATTTTCCTAYTAAAAAATGAAGTTTTTTTCCACCTCTGGTACTTCCAAGAGAAGAATATTCCCTTCCAAGCTCTTCAACTAAACAGCTGCTATCAAAGGCACCTTCCATTATTTCATCTGAGTGTAAAAACCAACACTGAGGGGAAATAACAGGATTAGGTGCATTTTCCTAAAATATGGGAATTATCAATGCAACAGAAACAAAGTGCCTCTGCTGAAAATGGCAAAGGGGAATTAAAGCAGCTCCAGGAATTTCTATCTTTTCTGATCAACTGCTCAAAATCCAGAATTCCTAATAGTCACTTGCTAAGTCTTGTCTTTGAAATGAATTAACTTCGTGCTTCTGAAATTGGATTTGTTAACAACACGGAAAACTCAAGAGTCCCAGAACACCTTGGCAATGTTTTCCCAATGTTTAAATTGGCAGAAAATTGCTACAATTAATAAAGCATCTTGCAAGCTGCATCAGGAGCAATTTACATCATCTCCCAAAGAAAATGAGAAAGAAAGTAGAGTTGTGTTCTGTCACAATTTGGAATTACAATCCAACAGAAAAAGACTGTCTGGATTGTCACCAAACTTACTGCAACAGTGGTTTTTATTTAAATGTCTCACAATTGTGGTAACAGGGTCTCAGACAGAGAACACTATTCACAACAAAAACAATTCTGYTCCTGTTAATTCAGTTTGTGCCAGCAACAGACAGATCTGAGCTCCAAGAGTTCAGATTCCTCAGTGTTGGAGTTTTGCTTTTTCTAAGAACAGTYTAAAGTTCTTGCAGACAGATTTTAGACACTATAATACAAAAAAAGCAGCACTCCTAAAGCCCAAAGACAAAGTATTAAATGTTTGGGAGCTGCTYATTTTCTGAAATTATTTTCATTAASTTCAAAATTGTATTTCCACTTGAAGCAGAAATGAAAAAAATCTACATTCAGCTTGTACTGTGAAAATTCTGATGCAGCTCTTGCTACAGCCAAAATACTTTCTTTAGAGGATTTCAGGGAAGAATAAAACGGGATTAAAATCAATTTTTTTCCCACTTGGCATGATTCTCCTCCATAAAATCTCAGCTGCACTTCAGGCAGACAAAGCAGTGCCTTWATCACCTGTAAGTGGCACCTGCACWCAGAACCATATGGAAAGAATATTCTGAAAAAAAAATAAAAAAGCACTTTAATAGCAAAGAATTCTCCTTCTGGAAGAGCACAGGTAAGAAGGACAAGATCCATCTGTTAATCCATCAGCAACATGCACAAAACAGAAGGAACCAACTGGAACCAGTTAGTGAAAATAACCCAGGAGGGCACCCTCTGTGACAAGGGTGGCACCCAGGATATTTATCATCAAGCCTATGAAAGAACAGAGCAGGAATAGTTGAGGTTGTTCATATTTTAAGAATATTCATTTCAAAAGTAAAAGTTCTCCCCAGGCTGCTGTAGTAGTCTGAGAATAATCACTGCTGTGAGAAAAACATCATTAAATTCAATATTGCACCTTTACAGAGGASAGTTACCTGCAGCCTGACTGGGAAAAGCAGTTGGTGCAGTGATAAATATCAATATTAGTATTATTGATAAATATCAATATTATTTATTGTCCCCAGATTTTCTATTGTAACACTGAAAAATATTTTTTCAGACATTCAAACAATGATCTGACAGAGCTGCCAGAGAGCTGAAAGTTTGAACTGGATCTTAAAGAGGCTCCAACTCTTTTTCTAGCAGAGACAAACACAGCATTCCTTTTTACCAGGAATTAGGCAATTTTCAACCAATTAAAACCAAACCCTTCTCCCCCTCCACACTAGAAGAATCATTTAAGAGGCAAAATTTAGACTCTCCTTTACAAAATTCCCCTCAAGACTGTTGCACAATCAAATATGCCCTTTCAAAAAATGACCTCACCCGTGACTCACTGCAGAGGTTTTGCTGCTGTTACAGCACCAGGTGTTGAGGGCTGCAGGAATTTCCATCCCATTCCTGAACAGAGTGACATTGCCAGGCAAATTGTCACCTGAATCACACCAAACCTCCTCAGCCCATGCTGGTTTGAATCTGGTCTTAAAAGGCTTTTGAAAAAGTTTTCCAAAAACTTTTTGTTTTTCCAAAACTAAAGTTTTCCATCCCCCCCGCTCCCCACAGGTTCTGCTTCGAAAGGAATGGTTTGAGTCCAACAAAAGACAAAAAATGCCATTCTTTGACACATCACAGAATTAAAACATGGGAATATTTGTACCTGTGTTCTTTGTGTTCCAGTAACTGACAGTCTCTGCATGTCAGCCTGTCACAGGTTTCACAGAAAAGTTTTAACTGCTCTTGTTTGTGGACAGGGCAGAAAACAGGACGTTGACCAGATGCTCCCACGGCCTCTGTTTTCAAAAATAAACCATTTGTGCATTTTAAAATAAAATTTCGACAATCTGAAGAGCAAAACAATTAATTTCCAGGCTAAGGAACAACCAAGGGCTGGCMAAGGCACCCCCAGCTCTGCTCTCAGGCTGAAGTCACTGTGAATACATCAGCTCAGGGCTTGCACTCAGTGATCTCAGAGGTCTTTCCCAGCCTTAATGATTCTGTGATTTACAGACCCAGTGGTTAATAGTTTCACTTTATTCATTCGAGGAGAAGGAGGAATTCCTCTTTTCTCACAAACGCCCTTRAAGACCTTGTAAAACCTGACAAAACCACCAGCACAGTGTTCATGTGTTTATAAAGATTTCRTTCTGTACAATTTCACCTTTGACACGCTGAAGGATTGGTCAAACCTCCCAAACCTTTTTAATTTTTACCCTATGGGTTTTCTAGGACATCCCTTGAAACCTTTCACTGAGTCAAACCCAACTGAAGTGAAAAAACTGCAAAGCCAACGTTGAAGCATTATTCAAACCCGTCCTAAACTGCTTACACTTTCCACTTGAGCAAATAACAATGTCAAAAAATAGTTTTTTTGCTAAAAAAAAAAAGTCCTGCACAATGTTTTGAAGATATTTTGAGCCTGGCAAAGAGGAAAGCAGCCTTTGGGAGATGCAGCAGGTAGGGTTTGAAATACAGACATTTTCCTGGCTCTATCAGGTTTTTGAAGCTGGTTATATCATGCAAGTTATTGCAAAGAAAGAGATGATGAACCCACAGCTGCCACTCAGTGAGGGGAATTTGAACTCTCCAGGGCACATCTTTGAGTTTAAGAAGAAAAAAAAAATAACCAGCCCTTCCCACCAATCACAATAAATAAAATTTCTGACAGAAACTTTGCTGGAAAAGTTATTTGGCAGCTCCTTCCCAGCAGGTTATCCAAGGGGAATATCAAGTTTAGAGTTACATTTAGCACTCCATGTAAAAACATCAGTAATTCTTCCTTGGTCCCTATAATTTGATTGAATTTAAGGGTTTCTCATTCTCACTTAAACTTCAATAGTTATTAAAATTATTCACTAAGATACAAAGRGAAACCTCTCCAAAATGAGGCTTATTTGATAGAGCAAATGAAATAAGATCCTTGTCTGAAAGAAGAAAGCTCAACAGCAAACTTTTCAATTATTAAACAGTTTTCAAAAAGGAAAGTAGTGTCTGCTTCTTTGAAAGGAAACAAAAAAACACTTATGAGGATCTTAATTCATTTTAAATTCATTTAAATAAAGAGAGCAAAGTGTCGAGATCTCTCATTCTCAATATGATCGCTCTACATCTAGAATGTGGAGAACCCACAGGTCTTTAAATCAGAACTTTTAACCCATTTACAAATAAAATTTTCTAAGCTAAAATCCAGATACCCTGGAGCTGTTCAGAGAACATTTTTCACTTTATCTCTATAGGCTACCAATGATAAAATCCCAATACCTTGGACCAGTTCTGAGACTTTCCACATTACCCCAAAAGATTACAAATGATCTGTGATCAAACAATATTTAGAAATTTACTTCCCATAAGGCTGCACATCTAAACAAACCCTAAACACGCTTCACATGTTAAATTTTGCCAGTCAGATTAAACCTAAAACAGATTCAAATTCTACATTTTCTCAGTTATTAATACAACAATAACATCATCTATTGAAGGTAACTATAAATTTATATGTGCAGGGAGAACTAGAATTGCTCCTTATAACAAAACACAGCAAAATGTGTCATTTAATTCCCTTGGACAATGGGTAAGAAAATCAAAGTTAATACGCCAATCAATAAGCTAATCAATGTGTCAAAATGCCAATCAATAAGATAATCAATGTGTCAAAATGCCAATCAATAAGATAATCCATGTGTCAAAATGCCAATAAGATTATCAATATGTCAATACACCAATCAATAAGATTATCAATATGTCAATATGTCAATCAATAAGATTATCAATATGCTCTCCAGACTCCAACCCCTCCATTTAGTCACTTACTCTTTTACATGGAAGGATTATTAAGAATGGATCAAAATCCTTTCCAAAGGCATTGGACATCAAACAGCACAAAGTATTTAAAACACCGTTTTAGCTTAAAATTTAGTTTTTCCTCTATTTTAATCGAAAATTTTCACTTAAAATTCAGTTTTTCCTTTATTTTAAAATCTAGTTTTCCCTCTATTTTAAATAAAAATTTTCATTTAAAGTTTAGTTTTTCCTCTATCTTAATTGAAAATTTTAGTTTAAAATTTAGTTTTCCTTTTATGTTAATTTAAAATTTTAGTTTAAAATTTTGTTTCCCCTCTATTTTAATTTAAATTTTTAGTTTAAAATTTAGTTTTTCCTCTATTTTAACTTAAAATTATAGTTTAAAATTTAATTTTTCCTCTATTTTGGTTTTTCCTCTATTTTAATTTAAATTTTTCACTTAAAATTTAAGTTTTTCCTCTATTTTAGTTTTAATTGAAAATTTTAGTTTAAAGTTTAGTTTTTCCTCCATTTTAGTTTTTCCTCTATGTTAATTTAAAATTTCCATTTAAAATTTAGTTTTTCCTGTATTTTAGTTTTAACTGAAAACTGTAGTTTAAAATTCCATTTTTTTTCTATTTTAATTGAAAACTTTAGTTTAAAATTTTAACTTAAGATTTTAAAATTTAGTTTTTCCTGTATTTTAGTTTTAACTGAAAACTGTAGTTTAAAATTCCATTTTTTTTCTATTTTAATTGAAAATTTTAGTTTAAAATTTAATTTTCCCTCAATTTTTAGATCTACCAATGCTGCACTGATAACTTTTTCCCAACCTTTTTCCAAACCCGGGGGTAAAACCACCCCGCTGCTGTCACCTCCCTCTGCCTTTTAACAAAAYAAATCCTCTCAATAAAGACAAAACCCTCTAAAAAATGAACAGAATGAAACAAAAGCCAACACTGACCCGAAGACACGTCCTCTTTTTTCCTGATCATATGATCTTTTGTGAATTTGACCCTCTGGTGCGCCTCGATGCACGTTTTGCACAGCCACTCGCCGCACTCCACGCAGAAACCCACGGCGCTGGCGTTGTCCTCGCAGCTGGTGCACACCTGGATGGGAAAAAAGGGATTGGGATTGTCCTGGGAGAGATGGAAGGAAGGGAAGGACAGGATGGGGGTGGAAGGATGGGTCTTACCTGCTCGGATTTCTCGTCGGAGCTGCTGGGAGTCTCCGAGGTGTCCTTGACGAAGTAGTTGTCCACCAGGTCGATCTGGCGGCACTCCTGGCGGCAGATGGGGCAGCGGATCACACCCACTGAAAAACACAGAAACCACAGCTTCAGGGGGACAGAAATGCCAAAACTGAACAGAACCTACAGCTTCAGGGCCACAGAAATCCTAAAACTGCAGAGAACCCACTGCAAAACACAGCACCCACTGAAAAACACAGAACCCACAGCTTCAGGGGGACAGAAATGCCAAAACTGAACAGAACCCACAGATTCAGGGGGACAGAAATCCCAAAAGAGCACAGAACCCAGAGTTTCAGGGGGACAGAAATGCCAAAACTGAACAGAACCCACAGCTTCAGGGG